CTCTACTCGAACACAACTGGTAGAGTGGGAGCTTATGGCGAATTGTCATCAGAATTGACTACCTCAAGTGTTGTTCGTCAGGGCTATCCACTCTCCATTCTGGTTCAACTTTGTCGTCGATGTACTTTTAGAGATAACACTTTCCTCATCTAAATTTACAGGGGTTGAACGTCTACCGGGAGGTTCACTTGTTGACTTAGAATATGCTGATGACATAGTTTTATTTGGCGAAGACGCTGACAAAATGCAGTCTTCTGACCACTCTAAGCAACAATGCAAGCATGTTCGAGATGCGATTATCCCCCTCGAAATGCAAAATGTTGCTTCAGGATTGGGTTGCGTTGACACCCGAACTAATGATAGGAAGTGAAGTAGTTGAGTGTGTTGATCACTTCACTTATCTTGGAAGTCTCATCAGCCCTTGTGGTCTGTTGTGTGACGAAATCTCAGCACGGATACAGAAGGCTCGACTAGCTTTTACCAACTTGCGTCACTTATGGCGTAGGCGAGATATCCGTCTATCAACCAAAGGACGGGTTTACTGCGCAGCAGTTCGTTCCGTCCTACTTTATGGCAGTGAAACATGGCCGGTAAGAGTAGAGGATATCCGTAGGTTACTAGTATTCGATCATAGGTGTCTTCGAAACATTGCTCGTATATCATGGGACCATCGAGTAAGTAACACAGTTGTTAGGAAACGGGTACTAGGTAAGGATGGCAAATCAATTGATGAAGTAGTGAAACTTCATCAGTTGAGATGGCTGGAACACGTGTTACGTATGCCCAACCACCGACTACCTCGACGTGCTATGTTCAGTGGTATAGGAGTTGGTTGGAAGAAAGCTAGGGGCGGCCAAACCAAAACATGGCACCAGTCCATGAAGTCACTGACAAGTGAACTGAGTCATGTTGGTAGGTGTAGACTACCTGGTTGGGGACCGCGAGATGATAGCAACCGATGGTCAGAGACCCTGAATGACATGGCTCAAAATCGTTTGCAATGGCGCAGGTGCATACACTCTTTGTGTTCTCCCAAATTTTGATCTCCTTGTCTCTTTTTTTCTCTTCCCAAATTTATTCCACTGTATTATACTCTTTAAATAACATCTCCAAACCCTAATGTTCCCGATTACTGCTTATACTCTTATTACCTCTACCACTACGGGATTTGGATCGACCACTGCATCTCTGTGCTAATGTGGTGTGGCGACTCGAACTGATGTACGTACGTACGAAGTTGTACGTTGTTACTGACTGAGCCAGCCCTATCTGTTGTCCGATCTGCATATGTGTGCGGACGTTGAAGACAGCCAGTTTGAATGGTGCACGTGGTTTCAGAAAAACTGCTTCAGTATTCGTATTCGGTGGTAGCATACAATTTTCAACCAGGCAGTGACTCGAGAACGTTTAGACAGAACCGAGTTTCCACCATAGGTGAGCTGCTGTATAAGTCAAAAAATAAGGATACATAAGGTGGGAATAAAAGAGTGAATAAATAATGTAAATAATAATAATAATAATAATAATAATAATAATAATAATAATAATATGAATCGTTGACTGTTAATCGAAGCAACACAAGTATTTTCCATAAATATCGACATTTCATCGTATTTGTGTGTGGACTGTGATACTGCCCGGGTACCCAGACTGAAGCAGGTGGTTTTCATGGGGGGCCACACCCCGAGCATTTGACCTAAAGGTCTAACCCACAGGGCAGTGGAGCATCGTGAGGAGATGCAGTCCCATGGTAGCCGGTGACCAAGATTGGTTCATACGCCATTTGTTCCTGCAGGATACTGGAGCCCATGTGCACCATTGGTTGGGGATCCGGTTAAAGCACCGGACATCTGCTTTTCGCCCTCTCATTTTCATAGACAACACCCCCGCCACGAGGAGGCAGTGAGTAGGACTTCCCTGGCAGATGCTGTATACGCGTGGCCGTGTGAGAGCATTTCGAGAGGAAGGGTGTGCCCACCCCACTCTCGGCCATACCAGGGCATTTGGAGGCACCCTTAATTAAAGATAGTGGACTAATTGAGCACATCGACCGCCTTACCTATCTTCGGAGTCCCATTAGTCTAGATGGTTTGGTGTTTGACGCGGAATCAGAAAGGTTGATTGACTTTTGCCAAATTGTGTCACTTGTGGCGTGGTCTTCCAACCAAAGGGCGCGTTTATTAAGCAGCAGTTTATTCCGTTCTACTGTATGAGTGTGAAACGACTATTAAGAATAGAATAAACTCTTAGGTTACTATTGTTCGAATATAGGTATCTTCGAAGCACCGCTATTGTATTTTGAGACTACCGAGAGAGCAGTGTCTGATTTACAAATAAGGTACTATGGAAGGATAGCACATCGATTGATGACGTAGTAAATCTTCATAAACTGAGGTGTTTGGTAGATGCGTCATGTATGCCTAACTTCTGTCTACACTGACGGGCAAGATTGTCTGGTGTAAGAGTAGGCTGGAAGAAAGCTGGGGGCGATTAAACCAAAACGTGCCATCAGTCCATAGAGTTATTGATAATTGGACTTGGCCATATAGGTATGTGCAGGCTACCTGGTTTGTCAGTCAGTCAGTCAGTCAGCTACAACGTAGGACCAGGCACATATGTGCATCGGTCCAGGTTGCCATACCTCATTAGCACAGCAAGATGAACACCGGATTCATAGGAGTGGTTAGGTCAAAGGTTGCAATAAGGATATAGTATAGGAAGAAAGAATTAGTTCGTAGACAGAAAAAATGAAGTGATTTTAGTCTCTTAGTTTAAGGGAAGACAGGGAGTGTATACACCGACGCCACTGTGATCGATTCTGAGCCATGTCACCAAGAGTCTCCAACCATTGGTTACAATAGTCACGCGGACCCCAACCAAGTAGTCTGCATCTACCAACGTGGCTCAGACTAGAAGTTAGTGACTTCAGGCACTGATGCCACGTTTTGGTTTGGCCACCCCTAACTACCTGGTTTGTATTCATGCAATTATTGTAACCAGTGATCGAAGACATTGCGTGACGTAGTTCAGAATCAATAACAGATACACAGATGTATTTACTCTTTGCCTTCTCTAAGATTTTAAGTTCCGAATCGTTCCTACACCTTTTTCGCACCTAATGTTTTGTACTACGATGATGTTGTTACTTTAAATACTCCGGTGTTTGACGTGACAATTTTAGCTCACTGTGCTATCGTGAACTGGCAATTTAAACCAATCCACGTACGGAACATATGAGTGACTAAGTGCCGCTCATTACATGATGACTTTTGATGTAACCTAATTACTGTCTAGATCCTCATATAATGCACAAAAGCAATATTATATAGCTGTTTAAATCACTTTTTTAGAGTTTTATTACTTAGTTTGCCTTTCACCCGTATTAATAATAGAAAAAACAATTCGAGAAATCCTCCGAGTTGGCCTACTAAAAGTTTGTGATCCGAAATTTAATTTGCAGGTTAATAACAATCATTTACTGAAATATACTAGGCTTTTTATTATATGGACTATCATTGGAGACATTTCGTTGTAAAGGAGAGAGAATTTGAAGACTAGTATCGTAAAATCCAAATCAATTAACTATAAACGGATAAAATGATCGTCGTGTAGCCTTTTTAGAAGTCAGTCATAACGTAGAACATGGTACTTATGTACATCCATTCAAGATACCGAATCCATTAGCACAGAGATGAAATCGTCAGGCCAAATCCCAGAATAGTAGAAGCAGTATCCAATGAGGTCCCCATTTTTGTTGTCTGGTAAACGTGTATTGACTGATTTCTAAACACATATACGTAAAAGGTTACAGCAACGAGAAGTTGAGCAGATACAATGATAAACTAATTGCATATTCGCGGACCGTCCCGTGCATGCAAATATTGTTTAGTTAACCATTTATGTAAAGATCAAAAGTGTATATGGGAGCTAGAAAAACCATTTAAAAAGACTGATTGGTTTTAAATGTCAGAATAACGATCTTTGTTTATTTTCGAAGAATGATTTGTAATGCTTTACCTCACCACGCTTTATACCAATACAAAGGGAAAAATATGACCAAAACATTACAAGGACAGATCCGAATGGATAAAAATCAAAGTAAATAAGGATCAAAAGAGGAGTGGAACCACGCGAAATTTGGACCTCAGAGGAAAATTACAAGCTAACAGCTTTTTAGAAATATTTGACGTCCCAGATCACTTAACATGGATACTATGAGCACTATACACCAAATAATTTTTATACATGACCTCTGTCCCGTTATCAATATATCAAAAATGTGTTTTCAGCGATTTCTTTACCAAAATTAATACATTTGAATTTCAACTTAACAATGATTTTAGTGGATGTTTCTATTCTAATGACTCTATGTATTACTCATGTTTTATGGATTCCCTTAGTCAATATTTTTTTCACTCAGAAGTATTATATAATTTTAATCGAATTCTCACAAACACGGTTGTCTGTTGACCTATAAATTATACTGTACCGTGTTGATAATGAAATAGCCCACAATCACTCCACCAATTTGTTTTAAAACAATAGGTAGTTCCCAGATTTTACCACGTACTGTCTGACTCGCGTAGTTACATTTAGATGCGTAACGGTGGGGGTCGAACCCGAATAGATATATGACATAACCAATATAACAGCAATTTTGCAAAATACGATAGAGAGCTATAGACCAACGGAGATTAGTTCAACTCACTCCTAAATTAGTTGCAATAAACTTATTTCATACCCTTAAATTAAAATCGACAGAAACGTGAGAGAACTAAGGGACAACACAGAAAAAATACTTTTACAGCTCTCAATGGTCTATTTTATGGTCTAACTTGATCAAGTTGAAATGTCAGAAATGTATATGGAAGACTGGAAACTGCTATCAAACTTTCGTTTCTAATATCACACTAATTCACTTTTTCTTACATGTTCAAATTGCGAATATGACACCATTATTACAAAAAGTATTACATTTACCACATAACAAAAAAACGTACTATGAACTCTCGACGCTTGCGGCCCTCAGGAAAACCGTCAACCGGATCAAAGACAGGGCCTTTGAAAATATCCGGCATAGATTTTGGGTCCTTATACGTTGCCAGAACGTGACCCATCGTTGACAATAAAATCCAGACGGAATCGAACCCACCCCCACGACCTTGAGTGCCTTTGTTCAAATGATTCAAACAGAAGTGAACAGAATGATTGTCTTCGCCTAGTGAGCTCCTGTATTTGGTGGCTATTGGTCATTGGTGTCCACATTTGAAGACTTAGGTGTCTTGATTTGTAAAGATAGAAATATTAGCCGCCGGCCCTATCCCGGTTAAAGGAGAACTAGGCGTATGGTCAATATCCTCATCCCGTAAAAAACAGCCATGATAAAACAACGCTGAACAGAATAAACATATTAAACTACGTCCTGGGAATTGAAAGAAGAATTATGATGTCTCATGATGAAAGCCGAGCTTCTTCGCAAGTCACGAAGCCGATGCATATTGTAAAAATCAAGGCAACAATCTTTATGCTTGCACGCAACATCTAGACAATGCGAAAGATCGTGAGGGCCAGCCAAATATCTTCGAAAATGAGGAGATACAATTTGAGGGTTCTCGGAATAAGCGAAACTTATTGGACCCCATCTGGACAATAATCGATGTATACGGGAGAGAGGCTTCTGTACTCCGTTTACGAGGAATGAAATGCTCCATACACAAAGAGATATGCTCTGATACCGTCTAAATAAACGCACGGAGCACCTATAGAATAGGAAACTCATGGACTGATGGGCGTCAAAACATCCTAAAAACAAAGGAGGAAATCACAATGAATGTTATCCAATGTTGTGCACCAACCAATTATAGCAACGACGACATTAGATACCAGTTTTACGAGAGGATGCAATCGATTGTGGTGAGGTGCTCAAGAAGCAACTTGACAACCCTGATGACAGACGTAAATGCTAAAGTCGGAAAGAACAACACCAGGTATCAAGATATCATGGGACGACATGAATTGGGAGAGAGAAACGAAAACGGTGAGAGATTTGCAAATCTATGTACGTTCAACAAAGTGATTATAGGAGGCACAATATTCTCACACAGACGCATACACAAAGTTACATGGACCTCACCGGATCACATCACGGAGGACCAGCTCTAGCATATTTGTATCGCTAACAAATTCAGATCTATGGAAGACGTGCGAATCAGGAGAGGAGCTGATATAGCTTCAGATCGCCACCTGATGGTAGTCAAGATCAAGCTGAGGCTAAAGAAGCACTGGAGAACTGGGGAAACAGCATTACAAAGGTTTAATACCTACCTCCTTCGAATTAATAACAAACCGATTTCAATATAACCTTCGACAACAGGTTCCAAACCTTACAGGATCCACTGAAAGAAGAAACTACTATGGAGGACAACTGGATAGCGATCAAAGAAGCACTAACTTCAACGTTGCAAAACGTTCTGGGTCGCAAGGAGCATCATCATGGGGAATGAAGCTCTACGGATACCCTGGACGAAATTCAAGAAATGAAGATCAAGAAGACATTAATGAACAACAGTCGAGTAAGAACAGAGAAAGTCAATGCACAAGCTGAATGCACAGAAGCAAACAAACAAATGAAGAGGAACATTGGAGGCGATTAGCAGAAATAAATGAAACACCTAGCAAAGACAGTAGGAAAATCTGCAAGAAAGGAAATATGAAAACACTGTATGACACGTCAAAGAAACTAGCAGGGAGTTACGGTAAACTAGGGATGGCTTTCAACAGAGTGTTACCGAACCGGACGATAGACTTAACCTTGAAGTCAACATACTGGATTGCGGAAAGATCAGTCGTGCAGACAAAATTGTGACATTACGTATCATCGTTGAGGATTGGAAAGCCAAGGCAGAATTCCTACAAATGAAGAACATACGGAACTCAAAACAGCTGCTTACCAAGATCAAAGTCAGAATCTTCAATATGAACATCAAGACAGTCCTATTTTATGGAGCCGAAACGTGCATAACTACTGCAATAATCGTCAAAAAGGTATAAGTATTTATAAACGCTTGTCCATGCAACAAACAGGCGTAAGTTATAGTGAAATGGTGTGTTGATTCCTAAGGAGTTTATACATAAAGAATATTTCAGCCATATGTTGCTGCACTGAAATCACAAAATCACTGCAAAAATCATCAACAAAAGTTGACAGTTATCATTTATTAGTCATCAGTAACTAAGTAAAACTCCAGTTTCCCTAACGCTTATTTTTGTGTAGTCCTTGTTTACTATAAAATACATGGATCGGAATACAAGAAATTATGGAGACGTGACAGTAACTGTTTACTATACGTCTTTTTGTGTTGTAATTTTAACCTAACTATATATACAACTTGTAAACTTATTTTTCCGCGCCAAATGTCATTCTATTTATATCAGTGTTATTGGTAAACAAATGAACTGTTGTACGATTTTTTTCATATTCGTTATAATTTCATGGGGAGGTAATCTCAATAACAGTAATAATAAGTTATTCTCAAATAACAGTCTGTTACATGAGGCATGCCAGTTTACAGGCAAGATCAAGTTGTTACAGGAAATACATTAAAGGATTATGTAACGTTTTAAAATATTTTGCTGAAAACAGTATTCTGATACACAAATGGCTATCTCCCTTTTTTGTCGAAGCTACTTCAGCTCATTTATATTTTTAATAATTTTATAGGGTCATGAGCACGCTTCGTCGTTAGCGAATTGTCTATAGTAACGAGTAACTGCTTATGAGAATAAGAAATAACCAAATGTTTGCTATATACGTACTTTTTTCGTTATGAAAACATGTAGTACTGCCTAATTTTATGAGTTTCTCTTAAATAATACATTATATATATGTAGAATTATAGTCTACTTCGATATTAGTAGTGCTCTAATGATAGATTTAATCCCCAAATTGTAGATTTGTCATGATGTAAATGCCTAATCTATAAGATCTTACGCGGAAGTCACATCATTATCTATACAAACTCACAGCGTCGCAACAAGAACACACTTGGGCTAGAGATAGAACAATATATTTAATATGAATAAAAGGCATATGGCAACACTCAAAAATGACCACACCTGCAAGGCCGATCCATGCCACCCGATGAATTCAGATTAACTGAATTCGTTCTTCCTGCTTTCTCCATTGTTAATTTTTTCTCCGCGTTAAATGTTGAATATATATTTCCCCAGTTGTCTCGTGTTCAGCTTTGAGGAATGTGTGGTTAGGGCCACTACATTAAAGATGCCACAGGTATTCGGAGTTTGACAACGCTATGAGTCGTACCCATCAAGTGAAATCAAAAGACAGAGGCGAGGAGGTTCGAAAATGTATTTGATAAGCTATCAATGTATCGTGAATCGTCTGATCTAATCTGGCTAGCGATTGCAGGGGATGTTGAGCACGGCGTTCTCAATCATGATTTGGTGCGGATGCATGATCGAGCGCCTCCAGTTAAGTGAGTCCATTAAAACCAGTGTGGTCAGCATCCAATGTCGAAAACTTACAGAGCTATTTATTTTGGGGATTTATCTACCGCTACAACATATATACGTTTTTTCACTGTGAAGTTATATTCAAATGAATACTAGCAGGACTGATAGTGCAAACAAATACAAACATTTGCCAAGCCGTCGCGGGATCTGAGACTTAACAAATCCATTTCTTGTAGTATACTTCTGCCAAAAATCGAAAGACTGTATATAGTTGTCTTATTTATGTTTAAATAATTCATCAGATGAATGATCGCGAAAGTGTTCAACAATAAACACAGTTATGGTCATTTTGTAAATTGTCCATTGATACGATTATCTATATATGCAGCAATTGTTAAGTTGCTCACTTGTAATGACTTGAATATTTGGAAGTTCAAAATCTTCTAATCACTTGCCAGGAGCCATAAGATGCAAGTCAGAAAACGTGTGGATAGTTTCTTGGCCTAACCAATGTACTTCTGAAAAACAACAAACCAATCGTGATACAAATGCCATAACGTCCATATGATTATCGAATTCAATACGTGGATGGGAAACACAGCTAACAGAATGGAGCTATTTGCCTTACTTGTTGTAAACAATGCCCTTCATTTTCAATCCTCCTAAAATTTCAACTATCCATTTAGTATTTATAAAGGAAATACAGGCACAAAATAGACATATTCAAAAACTTCAAGTGGTATTACTTAATGTCAGAAAACTTCAAGTACAAAGTTCATAATACTATTAATAATTCCTAGTTTATACACAGTAATGACATCACTGAGAAGCACGATTTAGAACTTGCTCAACAATATGCATTAGATTTCTGCTTATAAATCGGTTAGTGATTGAAAATTCTGTTTACAAAAATTTCATTCACAGTCTGCACAACAGACACACCATTAATTCGTATTCGCCAACAACATAGCTCACTTACCATGTTCGAAACAATCACGCATCGTTTTACTCATGAAGTATATGTCGCTACTTATGGTAACTCTTGTAGTAATGTTATATATAATTCCTGGATATGCTAAGAAATCAGAAAGAAAAGGCTGTCAGTATCAATTATTATCCATATAACTTTTCGTTTTCAGATAAGTTATATAATCATATGTCAGTTCTGTCAGAGGTGATCATATCTGCATTTACTAAACAACTGCCAGACATCCATGTTCATTGGATGGTGAATCAAATGTTAAAAGATTTCGGAGCTCATTTTTACTTAGAAAGTTTGACTGCAGTCGGTCTCTGACTTAATGATAATAAATTTCACCTTACTTTGCTACAAATGACCACATTAAGTTGACTTAACGTCCGTTCAGGTAGTGAAAAGCAGCTACGTCAAACTACTGATTATCTGGGATAAAAGCAAATACAAACATTACGAAAATTGGCGTGTGTCGGCAAAAATGCTGTTAATAGCTTATAAATAACGACATCCAAAATGCTTGACAATACGAAACGTGCACAATAACCCATAACCTAACATTTTTACTTTCCTCCTTGTAGTGAGAATTTAGACCAAAGGGTCTGCTGTAATCAGTCAAATTTGGCGAGGATCCAAGGTCTTCCTGAACTGCTAGAACATTATTTTGGCTGAAAACCACTCTTCAAAGTTTCAACTAGTTAGAAAATAGTGATAAATCGGACGTTCATTTCCATGAATTCA